ATATTTTCCACGTTGTTAGAATAAAATCTAACACGATTGCCAATACAAGGTGTAGAATTATTATTTTATGTCTGTTGTGAAACAAACACCCTATTGTGTGATTTGGGGAATGGAATAATTTAAGACAATCTTTCCCTTTTCTGATTTCACCAGCTCTTAAAGGAAGGTGATGCAGGTGCAACATAAAAAACAGAAATCACAGGACAGACCACGATCACGGCAGTTAGAGAGGTACAAAAACATCACGGGAGGGCAGTAAAAGTGAATATCTATTCGAGGACGAGGTTGCCATTGCTGAAGGACTCCTACATTTTTATTTTCTGTTGCGTATTCTGCCTTTCTTTATTCTATACAACTAAGCCTTTCCAGCGTTAATGTTGAGATGGATAGACTTAAAAATCACTCTTCAAAAAAGACGATCACTTTCTCGATTAATTCAAGGCAACCATGCCTACCTGACAAGATTCTGATGCCGCTGTGAAGCAACTTATGAATCTTCACCGCACACAGTTCCCTCTAAGACAGAAATGAAGCGTCAGAACTTGTTTATACGTGGAACACTCAATTACATAGGCAGGCAACATGTATTTGGCTGCCAACTCACCTGGCCCGGTGACAATTTAGTAGACCGCCTGTCTGTTGAGCATCAGGTTTACCTGGCAATGAGCATGAGAAGCATTTAGAGATCTTTTAAAATCCTTCCATTTTATCATTTGACTGCCTCCATGGATTGTCTCTTTTTTCACCGAAGGGTGATGTTTATGATGAATAAAGTTTTACACAAAGGTGAGGATTCACTTATCATTAATATCAATAAAGCATCTGCATGTCCTCGTGATGTCTTAACATCTTGCATAAGATGACTGCAGAGATTCCCAGTGTAGGATTTCTAGGTGGCCCGCGAAGACTTCTGCTGGAGGCTCACTCCCAATGGCAAGTAACCTTCCTGCTTTGTCCCTGTTGCTCTCCGCCACTTCTTTGAGGTCAAAATAACCCTGACACGGCATGGCTTGCCATCCACTGACCCCTTCCTTCTGGGCCCTTGCAAATGCTCCTGAGGTCCCTGCTAAGTCATCCCATGCCCTGTGTGAATGAGAAGAGTGGTACCTTTGCTCTCAACTCTCGGGGCTGCTTCTGCGCATCTGTCCTAACAAACACGTAACACTTGTATCCCATATGATGAGACCCTGCTTGCACCTCTCAATGAACACTGGGTGCCTGTATCCAGGACTATTCCACAATTAGTAACGTAGGACCTAAGTTTGTGACTGATTTGCATTTTTTTTAATTAAATAGGATTCCCGGTTATTCCAATCATCACTTCACTTGCTATCACTTAACATCCTGACCAACTTCCTGAACAAGAGCAAAAAGGAGGACCCTGCCGCTAGCAGAATGGAAACATCCCCAGACCTCAGCCCCTAATGGCGGGCTGAGATTCGTGTGCTGAGAGCTCATTTTGGTTTTTACATCCCTTTCCTTGTCTTTCTAACCGTGGATGTATTTTTATTAAGAAAGGGACAAGGGAAGATGAAAAGGCATGAGTAGGGGCACTTGCATCTACATTTTTGGAGTGCAGAATAACACTGTGAACATTCCTGGGGGTTTCAGTTAACAATTGCCAAGCCAAACTAATGAGGCAAATAACAACACATGTCATTACGAATAATCAAATAAGGTTTTTATTTTATTTTATTTTATTTATTTGAGAGACAGAGAGCACGGGGGCGGGGAGCGGCAGGCAGAGGGAAAAGCAGACTCCTCGCTGATCAGGGAGCCTGACGCCATGTGGGGCTCAATCCCAGGACTCTGAGATCATGCCCTGAGTCGAATACAGACACTTAACTGAGTCACCTAGGCGTCCCTCAAATAAGGTTTACATAGGTTTATTCTTCAGCACTACTTACTTGTTCATATTCTTTGTGGAGTCAAAGTAATAAGATTTAAAACCATGTGTTAGGTTTATAATATTAACTTTTTAACAATGAATTTTGAGATCTTCTTAATTTTCTGACTCACATAATTATAACATGTTTATTATACCTTGCCTTCGCCAAACACACACACACGCACACACATACACACTACTTAATTTGGTGGGAGCTGATGGTATTGAAATGTGAGCATGTCTGTGGACACATGCCTCCTGACCAAGGACATCATCTCTATGTGTTTCTGTGAGAAGTGTCGAGAACCATGATGTATTAGTTTCCTGCAGCTGCTATAACAAATTTTCACAAACCTAGTGACTTAAACACAAATTTATTATCTTACAATTCCTGTGACCAGAATCTAAAATGGGTATGACAGGGTTAAAAGCAAGGCTTTGGCCAGGCTGGCCCTCCTGGGGACACTGGGAAGAGTCCGTTTCTTTGCCTTTGCACCTTCTGGAAGGTGCCTGTGCTCCTTGGCTCCTGACTCCTTCCTCCCTTCACATCACCTGGCCTCCCGTGTCATGTCATCCTCTGCCTCCCCTGTGGTCAAGGATCCCTCTGCCTCTTTCTTGTAAGGTCGCTGGTGATTATGTTTAGGGCCCGCCTGGACAATCCAGACTCATCTCTCCATCTCAGGATCCCACCTTACTCACAGCTATACGGTCCCTTTTACCACATCCAGCTAACATTCCTTGATGCCAGGGATTGGGGAGTGAACATGGTTGGGCCAGACCACACACAGTGAGGTAACGCGGGGCCAGGACTTTGAGTCAGCTGGCCTGGGCTCTACCTCCAGTTAGTTATGCTCCGTTTGCTTCCATTTCCTGATTTGTTAAATGCAGATAAGAATAGTACCTCCCTCGTAGGTGTCAATGAGTTAATCTATGTAAAAATCTCAGCATGTGAATTGTACACTTAATAGGAAAATCATAGAACAGCGCCTTAGACATACTGCGCACTCATGATGATTATTATTAATCTTTCTAAAGACCTGAGCATCCCATGGGCAGACACACACACACACACACACACATCCCGATCTCACTATTTCCTCTTCAAGGGCCTTACCTGAGTTCCAGGCCCAAAGCCAGTGGGCTCTGGCACTGATCCCATGTTGGCTAAGTCATCACACCTAAGATGCTCAGGGTCCTACACTTCTCCTCATGGCAACTTATCCCCAGGGCATCAGGGAACTTGGTTCAGCTCTTGCCACACTAAATAAAAGGTCCAGTCCTGTTACCGTGGCCACTAGCCACCGAGAGCAAGATCCTGGGCTCGTTCCTGCCCTTACTCATTCTCCTGTTGCTTGCTTCTGTCCCTGCAGACTCACCCCTTTCTTCTCCCCTGGCTGTCCCCTGTCACTGACCAGAGACACACACTCCTTTCTTCCTTCATGCATTCTCCTGGGACAGAACTGTCCCCACAATCACTCCAGCTCCCAGAGGTGCTCGCTCATCCTGTGGCAGCAGACCTCTCTGGATCTTCGTGTGATTGTGACCCAGGGATAATGATGCAGAAACTATGGAGCCATCGACTTAAAGAGGCAGAGCCTTCACCTCTGTGTGGAAACTGGGCTTTGGCGCCTCTGTTTTAATGAATTTAAAAATCTCTCTTATCATTGCCTATTCCTGGACCCCTCCTCTTCACTCCACTGGGAGCCAGGGAACTGGTCACAGCCTCATGTGACAACAGAGAGGATATTCGTTTATTTCACTACGCACCTTGCTATTTTCATCCAGTTCTGTAGGCTTTCTGCAGAAGTAACCTTACAAAACCTAACGCAGGCAACAGAAAAGACCATCTTAATTTTAGCACGACGGAGGACAGAAATATGCCTGGAGAATAACTGCATGGTGTCCAACATGTTAAATTTAACCTACAAAATTTACAGGGACACATTGCAGACTGCATACAGACTGCCCGGGACACAGTCATGCTTTTGCCTCCTTCCTAAATTACGCTCACAACGAAAGGGAAAAACCTGTCTCGTGAAGTCGACTCCAATCACCCCATCGGCATATCTCCTGTCTGTATGCAAACGGCAAATATTCCCCAAGTCAAATTAGGTGTTAAATGACTCCGCCTCCCTGAGACTTCCCTGGGTGTGGCTGGCCCTGGACCCCAGCCCCACATCCACATGGTGACAAGCAGTGAGGAGCTGCCTCATCGACGATGGATCTTGTGGCTCGGCTCCCAATCTGGTTTTCATTCCTGAGGAGTCCTGCGTGGGGGCTTGTGGGGCAACATCTACAGCAAGACCATTATGTTTTTATGCTTTTGCTCTGGGGGAACATTTCTGTGGTGTCTGCAGGGCCCTTGGAAAGCTCGCTCATTTACCCAGCAATGTGTGAAGTAATTGAAACCTGGTTCTCTGGTGTACACGGACTCCTTCCTGCAAAAATGTGAGAACTGGGCTCTCGTGACAAGACTCTGACCCCACAGCAGGCACATGTCCCCTAAGCGTCTAGCCCTGTGCTGCTGGGTGCTGGGGGCTCAAGAACGCCTTGTCCAGAACGATCGGGAAGCTTCCACGCACACATGGGTGGTCACACGCCAGCCCTCAAAGCTGTGGGGCATCACTGCTGTCATTTAATTATCTTTGTGGCTGTGAAGTGTCTCAGTAGAAATTACTCCATTACTACTCCTTTCCCAGTAGGTGTTTCAGACTGACAAGGCAGCTGCTCGGGTAGCAGAGCATGTTAATTATGACTTTTTTTTTTAAATTAGATTTAAGGCAGTCAACAAGGGTTAGCGTCCCGCTTTTCAACCTATGGAAATCTGTTTAGCGTCCGTCTGAAGCTTCCTTTTCATGTCTCAATTGCTCAGGGTCAAGTTAAGGAAATAAGAATTGGGGGAAGTGACTGAGTTTAAAAAGGAGAGGCAGATCAAAGAAATAGTCAAAGGCTCTGGGCACACAGTGACTGCGAGCTTCACCTGTAATTTGAGCTGAGAAACACTGGGAGGAAGGGGAAAGCCAAAATTATTTACAGATGGACAAGCAATGAAAGGAAAACCCAAACTATGAAATATGTTTACATTTGTCTTCATCTCCTGTTAATTCCTAGGGTGCATCGAGCACAATATTTGGCACTTAAATTTCCTTGCTCTGAATTAAAGGGCAAAAATGATCACCCACAATCAGGAAAAAGAGGCTCAGAGAGTGTGTATTTTAATGAAGGACAGAGATACATGCATACTCAACAGAATAGAACGGGTTTGGAACAGGACTAAATGTATGGAGGAAGCACTAAGGGACACAATCCAAGGAGATCAACTCTTTTGTTCTTTTATTCAATCAACTAACATTCACAGAGTGTCTACTCTGGTTCAAGCACTGTTTTAGGCCTTATGGATACAAATATGACAATGACAGGCAGGTTTTAACTCTATGGAGGTTATATTTGTGTGTGTGTGTGTGTAAAAGAGAGAGAGAGAGAAGTAGGGTAGGCTAAGGAAGGGTGACAGACAACATAAATAGCAAATGTGACCTTATTTGTAAAAGGGGTCTTGGAAATGTAATTAAGGATCTTGAGATCATTCTGGATTATTCTGGTGATCCCTAAATCCAATGACAGATGTCATTGTAAGATACAGCGAGAGACATAAAGCGGAGGAGAAGGTGACTGAAGGTGGAGGCAAAGATTGGCCTTTTGCAGCCATAAGCCAAGGAACTCGGGAGAAGCTGTAAGAGGCAATAAAGGATTCTCCACTTGGGCCTCCAGAGGGGGTGTGGCCCCGCCAACACCTTGATCTCAGACTTGTGCCTCCAGAGCTGTGATAATATAACTTCCTGTTGCTTTAAGCGACGGCGTGTGTGCTCATTCGTACAACAGCTCTAGGAAACTAATACAGACTCTAAAGAAAACAAAACAGACTGACGGAGGCCAGATGCTGGAAGGTCTCACGTTGTCAAAAGGCAAGTTCTTTGTACGAAAGAGGTGACCAGGAGCCGCTTCTGGGGTCCTCCTCAGAGGGACCACGCAGAGGATGCTTTTCCTTTGTTAGCAGCTACAGTTTGGGCCAGGAGTGGACACCTGTTTTTGTTGTCTGCTGACATCTCTTCTCACTTCCTCCGATTAGTAAAAAGTCTTTCCTGTGGGGACCCTTTCCAAGGTGTTCAGGTGGGGCTGCCTCCTTTCCTCCGATCTCTCCCAAATCTCATTCCCACAAATAGACACAGAACCATGGGCTCACCAATCAGTGAACTCCATCATCCAGGCGCAGTGATTGGCTCAGGGGTGAGCATGTGACTCAGGCCAAGCCAATCAGAGGCCTCTCCGGGAATTTTCTTCCGAAGCGCGGGCAAAGGACCCTCTATTCACTAGGTAGCTAGCTGGTGGGATGTGACCCTGACAGTCTTTTAGTCACGTGACTTTCCTTTAGCTTTCCTTTTTCCCCCTTTTGTTTAAATGAGTTCTCAGTCTCTCTTGCATGTGAATGAAAGGGTTGTAATTCGGGGCCCTGTTCTGGTGACCTATGCACGACTACATGTTGGATTCTTTTTGTCTAGCCAGGACAAAAGTCTAGAGACAGAGCACTTCTCAGATGGGACCCTGCCCCCCCCCCTTCTGTGGACCCCATCCTGCTTCCTTCTTAGCGTGGGAAAGGGGAGGGGGCAGGTCTTACTGCCACAGCCATAAGGGAGAAAAAAGAAGCAATCCAAAAGGAAAAGAGTCAAAAGAATCAAAGTTAAGAAAACTTCAAAGAGACACCGAACCCCCAAATGAATAGTTTTTAGCATCTTTGTTTATCCCTTTGAAAATTCAGTTCCCTAATACAGTGCCCCAGTTTTGTACTTGGCCTTAACCCCTATTAGCGCTGCACTCTGTATCGATCTCAGTTATTTGGTGCATAAACAGAAGGGATGCTGGCTGATTTAAGCTGAGAATTCATTTATCAGAAGGCTGGGGAACTGGGCTCAGAAAATGCACAAGAACAATAGGAAGGTGAACAGGTAGAATCACAACCAAAATCAGGCCCCAGAACCAATCTGGGTAAGGGCTTAGCCAAAGACCCAACATCACTTCTCCCCAGGACCAGAACTCTGCTGCCTACCTTCCCCCCCCCCCAACCCACTTAAAGGAGCTTTCCCATCCCTGCTAGGAGCCTCAGAATTCCAGAGGAAAGCACGCGATTGGTCAGGTCTATGTGGCATGTCCCCTCACTCTGCCAGGTGTGAAGGGACCCTGTTTTTACAATGCATGGCCAAGCTCTCTGCATATGGAAGTGCTTGTACTGGGTGTTAGGGACAGTTGCTACCTCCTGTTAGCTTTGTGGTATTGGTCCTCCAGCTATGATAGGACTCCTGGCCAGCATGTGACCTGTCATGTCAAATCCATTGGCTACCTTGTTATGTTTCAAGGTACCACTCTGCAGTACAAGTTTTATTTCCTTCAGGAAAAGGAGATGAAAAATGAACAACAAAAACAAACAAAACTCCCACACAATGTGGGTCGTGTTTTTGGTGGTTTTGCCTCCTACTGAGATGCCTTTGGGGAAATTTCCTGAACATAAGTTAATTTAAAATTATCTCTTTGTCCTCTCCTGGGGTGAAGTAGGGGGGAAAAAAGAGGTTGGAACAAAGAATGAAGAGAGTATCAAATCCATGTGCAGGGCACTGGGCAGGGTCGGGGGGGTGGAGGGAGGATTCGAAGGAGGAAAAAAAAAGGGAAGGGAAGGGAAAGGGAAAGGGAAAGGGAAAGGGAAAGGGAAGGGAAGGGAAGGGAAAGGAAAGGAAAGGAAAGGAAAGGAAAGGAAAGGAAAGGAAAGGAAAGGAAAGGAAAGGAAAGGAAAGGAAAGGAAAGGAAAGGAAAGGAAAGGAAAGGAAAGGAAAGGAGGAACAAAAGGGGCAGGGAAAGGAGAGGGAAGGAAAGAAGGAAGGAAAAGGGAGAGAAAGCCCAAGCATGAGGGCTTAGAGAAGATTCAAGAAAGTTAGACAGTATTAAGTTAACTCAGGAATTTCTGAATAGGTTTTATAACACAGAGGTGAAATTTAGGAGTTTCTAATCAACAGAAAATGGGCTCCATTCTCTTCTCTTTGGCTTCCCTTCCCCTTTCCCCGACTCTCTCCAGAAGTAAGGAAAAGGGGTGAGCAGAGTGTTGGGGCCATGGAAGGACCAGACTGCCTCTACAAAGTCCCGTCAGAGCAGAGGGTGGATTGGGGAGCAGCCAAGGCTCCTGTCCCACCTCCTTTTGTAAATCGAGGGGTGTTCCGCCCTTCCCCCTCCCCAACCCCAAACCCCCAGCTCTACTTTCCCTAATAGACAAACACATTTGAAAGTTTCCAAATGCTATCATTTCTGTTAATGTTTAGCAATGTCCAAATAACACTTGAAAAGTATGATATACTATTAATAAGGTTAAAAATAGCCAAACAACTGCAATGCAACTGATTTTTAGTGTACCTATAAAGACATATAAAGTACTCTATCAAGAGTCCCTCTGATTTAAAAAGTGATATGTTTTATATTTTAAAAAATACAGCATAAAGGGGCACCGGGGTAGCTCAGTCGTTAAGCATCTGCCTTCAGCCCACGTCATGGTCCCAGGGTCCTGGGATCGAGGCCCCCATCAGGCTCCCTGCTCAGCGGGAAGTCTGCTTCTCCCTCTCCCACTTCCCCTGCTTGAGTTCCCTCTTTCGCTGTGTCTCTCTCTGTCAAATAAATAAATAAAATCTTTAAAAAAAATACAGCATAAGTAAGTAAAGAGTCTGGCTAACTTGATAAATTGGATTAAACTAGTTCATAGCTTATTCCTGTTACATACAATCTCTTTTGAACTGTAGGATATATTGGTTCTTTCCATCCATAATTTCCCTCCTAGATATGTGAACATAAATAAATGGCACACATAGCAAAAATTCTTACAGAGCTGTTTTTTTTTTAAATTGAATCATTGATCTTACTAAAAGTTGTTTCTAAAAAACCAAAAAAAAACAAAAAACAAAAAACCTCCTGTTGGCATGACATTTAAAAAAACCATGGGTCTGAAGGACCATTTATAATAATAATACTATCTCACATATTTATAAGGCTTAATAATATCCAAATGCTTTCATATGCATCATCTTGATTCTCTTAACAACATTTTGTTACAATAGGAAAGGCAACAGAGGATCAAGGACACTGACAGTTCAAGGTCCCATAAGTAGTAAATTTAAAGGCTGAGGCCAAAAGCAGGGCCTTTGGCACCCTGGCCCATTGGACCGTCCATCCCACCATGTTGTAAATTGGATTGCTGTGTAGTGGGGTAGAGTCAGTGCCATTTTAAGAGTGTATTATTTTACAAGTCAATTTTGTAAGGTACTCCTTCACATTTTCCAGTATTCTTCATAATTTCCATGTACTTACAGTCTCACCCATGTATTATGTTAAAGAATTCAGGTTACCTCAAAAAAAGTGGGAAAGAAATTTCAGAACTGCCCCCCTGCTGTGCTTTTCAAGGCAGCTCAATAGTTCCATTTAAATAAGACTTTCATTTTTCTTAACTCTTATTCTAGAAAATCAGACCAAAATCCTTCATTCTACTTCCTAAAATCTAACTTTAGTCTGGGGGGCAGGGAGAAAGAAAATGAGAATGGGAATGTACTGAGGTCGTGAGCCCAGAAAAAATAAAATCAATGTAGAAGTCTCGTCTTTGTCGATTTGCAACTCTCCTTCTTTTCAGTTCTTCAAGCTCAGAAGGGCACCCAAACTCAGTGGACGTCCCTGCCCTAAGACTCATCCTTGGGCCTGAACTCATCCTTCTCCTCAAGTGGGTATACTAAGTATCAGGGTCACCACAAGACCCAGCTAAATCAGCATTTGTAATTTTATGTAACATCTGTCCTGGAGAATAAAGTTCGTGGAGTCAAATAACCTTATAAAGTAACGACAGCACAGAGACCTCAGATATTTTTAAAATGTGTGTTTAGACCCAACAGAAAAATACAGCACATGAGCAATGAGAGTTTGTCCATTATGGTTATAATTAGAATCATAATATGCCCAGTCTCCACCAGCTTACTACAGCCTTGTGCAGCAAGTGTGAAAATCAACTGTGGAAAAGGGTCCCAGAGGAATTAAGTTAAGATTTCAACATATTCTCAAGTGTTGATAGAATGGATTTCTACTTGGGAGACCATATATATCTTTTGGGTTTGATGGCCACAGATTGTATGTGGACCATACATCAACGTCTTATTCAAAGGTATGTGCTCAATAAATATTTGCTGAATGAATGAATGTATAAATGGATGAATGCGTATTGCAAAGAAATTTAGGAATTCAAACTTGGCCAGAAGAAAGCAAGTCCTGTTCCAACAACCCATCCAATCTAATCTTCCTGCCACGTCAAGTAGAGATCTGGAATCATCCAATCATGTCACACTCCTCTCTGGTTAGAAACGGGAACCACTGGCCCCTTTGGAGTAGTGTGGAAACAAATGAGAAATGGAGGAGCAGGGAAATCCTAGAGCCTCGCTTTCATTTTTCATCTATCTTTTGACTTCTGGGGTTTCTGCTTATTAAACAGGAAAAAAAATTAATTGTTTGTAATTTTCAAAACCCTCGCATGTGAACTCATTCTAGATGCAAACAACTTTAAAGGCAAAATCACCAGAGGCTATGTGGTGTACAGGGCCTCATTACCAAAGGAGGTCACATAAAAATTAAAAAACACTAAAGAATAAATAGTCCATGTTGTCCAGGGGGATGAGCTATGCAACCCAAGTAAAAATTAAAACTAAATTACATCCACTCATCAGCATTGCATAACACATCCGACTCACTGGCATACAAAGCAATTATTCCTGATAGGTGCTGAAATCAACGCACCCAGCTGGGTTAGTGTGTCTCCAGGGACACAGGGCCTTGGGCTTTCTCCCTATCCGTTGGCTGTGTTCCTTCACGACCATGATGGCAAATAAACAATACTTCACAGCGCCGTTAGACTATACACATTTGAAATAAAAGCAATACAGATCAGTGCGTGGCTAACATTCAGGACCCATCACGTGACCAAGAGACCATCTGATTCTAGGTCAGTGCTCCGTTTCTAGAACACTGTATCTGATCTTGTGTTTTAGGAAACCACATTTGTTTTATGCTATATAAAGAATTCTTCTTCTTTTTCTTCACCCTGGACTGGCAGGTGAAGGGGACATTGTGAGATTATCTTCCTTGCACCAAGATCCCTTTGGCCAGCAAGTGACAAAGAATGGGTACTTGCCTTAAAGATTCTATTGTTCTTGGAGGCAGTTGCCCCTGAGGAGGAGTCTGGCAAGCAGGGTGGTGCGTTGCTGGTCTGGACATCCCTTGAAAATCTGTTCAGAAAAGACTGTTGGGGTCCAGAATTGACCACGGTGCACCCCGTGTCAACATTTGTTTCTGCCTCCAGCTTCCCAAAGCTGTCTTGCAGGCTGAGGACCTTTCTTCTGGCCCCAGGTTGGAGGTGGGGAGAAGGCAGATGCATCTGGACGCCCATTGCGGAGCTCTTGTCCTGGGACAAGCAGCCAGGGCTTTTCCACGAGGTGCCACTAAAACGGTCTGACACAGGGCTCTCAGCAGGCTCCGCACACTCCAGAGAGCCCACCTTGAGCCTCCTGGACCGGTTCCTTCGGCATTGTGGCTCCAGGGTCCTCCTTGGGGAGACAGAGATTGGGGAGACTCTCCAGAGCCGGGAGCCCTGGAGAAGTGTGTCAGCTCCCGAGGTGCCATTCAGAAAGGAAAGCTCGCCATTCCTGACACCAAGTCCTGTATTCAACTGGACCTAAGGGACAAGGGGAAAAGAAACAAATTCAGCAGATGTTTTCCATTAACTAAATGCCAAGAACAGACTGTGTCCCATTCATCCTCTGCCACCCAGTGCCCACAGCAGACTTTCAATAAAGCCAGTTGAAGTGAAGTAATAAGTACAATCTAATCATGAGATATATCAGTATCAGCTCCAAACATCTCTCTCTCTCAGGCTCCCTAAAAGAACATATGACAAGGAGAAGAATCTGAGAATCAAATGCAACACAGTTCTCGTAGGTCGTGTTGTTCAAATGATGCCAAGATGTTCACAGGTGTTATTTGTTGCAAATGATGTATTACCAACTATGCAAAAATAAGAACAAAAATCAAAAGCCACCAAAAGATAAAGATTGGAATAAGAATTCAATCTTCCAAAGTCCTTCTACATCATACTAATGATATATATCTTGAGCTATTGCAAGACATGTGGGCACTCCAGGCAGACTAATAATTAGACACCTTTCAAGTAAATATTCTTTAAATTTAGGGGGACCATTTATTTATAGTACAGGCCATATGTAGAGGCATGTGGAAGAACATCGAAGAAAGGAGGGGGACTGCCTATATGGGACCTGCGGCGTCTTAATCCCTAGCAGATCCATGCTGGTTTCAAACTTATAGACCCTACTCAGCAGAACTGCCACCCTAGAGTTAACTGCTCTCTCCCTCCACACAATGGAGTTCACTGGCCCGTGTTCCATCCTTGGACTCTTGGGAGCCTCCTCCCCTACTCCTTACACAACACTCTCACCAAGAAGATTTCTGGAAAAGACAATTTTCTCTATCTTGTCAGTAGCTCTTAGAAATTGGTATCCAGGGTCCACCCCTGCCTGGCCCAAATATCAAAAAGAATGTACAACAGAACCTTAAATGCATTTACTAAGCCCATCTGAAAAAGTCTACATACTGTATGATTCCAACAATATGACATCTGGAAAAGGCAAAACTATGGAGACCATAAAAAGGCTCGTGGTTGCTAGGGGTTAGAGGGGAGGGAGGGATGAACAGGCAGAGCCCAGGATTTTTAGGGCAGTGAAACTACTCTGTATGATACTGCAACGGGGGATACAAGTCATTACACACTTGTCAAAACCATTAAAATGTACAGCACCAAGAGTGAACCCTAAGTAAACTATGGACTTTGGGTGATAATGATGTGTCTATGCAGGTTCATCAACTGTAGCAAAGGCAGCACTCTGGTGGGATACGGACAGTGGGGGAGGCTGCGTCTGTGAGGGGCAGGAGCGTGTGGGACTCTGTACTTCCTGCTCCATTTTGCTGTGAACATAACACTGCTCTCATTTTTTTTTTAATTTATTAAAAGAAAATAAAAAGATGGTACATATTTACCTCACCAGGCAAGAAGGAAGAAATCAGAACAGTAAGAAAGCAGTTCTAGAAATGAGTAAATTATTTATATAAGGGATCCTCCCCCCCCCCTCAATTTTCTCTCTGATAGAAATGGTGGAGTGACTGTTACCAAACTGCAAAAAGCAAAAAAGCTGCTTCCATCAATTCTTTTAGCATCGAAGTTGGCAAATATTTTCTGTAAAGGGCCATACAATCAATATCTGAGGCTCTGTGGACCTATGGTCTTTCTCGGCATGACTCGACTCTCCGCAAAGCAGCCATGGACAATGCGGTAAGTGGGTGTGGCTGAGTTTCAGTCTTGTGCGATTCTTTTTAAAGATTTTTATTTATTTATTTGACAGAGAGAGAGAGAGAGAGCACAAGCAGGAGGAGTGGCAGAGGGAGACGGAGAAGCAGGCTCCCCACTGAGCATGGAGCCAGATGAGGGCTCGATTCCAGGACCCTGGGATCATGACCTGAGCCAAAGGCAGACGTTTAACTGAATGAGCCACCCAGGCACCCAATTTTGCACAATTTTCGTGTGTCATGAAAATTTTTCCGCAACCATTTAAAAATGGAAAAACTATTCTTAGCTCCCAAGGGCCTTCCACCTCCGGGGGAATAAAGTTAAAATGAGTGCTCTTTCCTGCTCCAACACTCAAGTTCTCCTGTTACATCAGCTTTTCAGCATCCACACCTCCTTCCACATCAACTGGAGTCCAAAGATCATCACTTCAGCCATTTCCTCCCCAATACATCCGACTCCCCTCTACCATTGCCTTTCTGTCAAAGCCTCCCTCAAGACCTCCCAGATCCAGGTCCATCTGCATGCCCACATCCCCTAAACTTGTGCCTTGAACTTGTCAAAGAAACGCACAAACTGTTCAGAGTGACATCACCATAACGGTGTGGTTTCCAACTTTGCCCAGTCTCCCCGCAGTCCTGTTTCCTTAGCCACCTGTCCTTTCGCCACAGGCAGCTGTTTAAAACCTTCTGAACTGTCCTCAAACCTTCAGTGGCACAACCTCTGCCCAACCCCGCAGCAGAAGGTATCACCATCTAGATTACAGAGAAAACAAAAGCCATCATCAGCTAGCAACCCTCAGTAGCCTGCCACCCAACACACCTGCAACGTCACCATCCTCTCCACGAGGAAAGGGACCAGTCTATCTGCACTCTGAATTCCATCGCCTCCTGCCTTCCTGGCCACCCCAACTTATCAATGATTCATTTTCTCCCATGTGGTTATCTTGTTTCTCCAATCTTTCTCTCTTCCTGGTGCTCTGCCTTCTCCTTTGCAACAGCAATTCAACCTGCTCCAATCTATCTTGAATAATGCATTCCTTCTCCTCTCTCCCCTCCAGCGCTCTCTCTCCTCTCCTTCACAGCCAACCCTCTCTATAAAATTCATCCACACTCATTTATCCTACTAACCTCCCCCCCCTTATTTCCCCTACCCACGGCACTGACCCTCCCTCCTACCAATCCACTAAAATTGCTCTTGCCAAGATCATCCGCAATCAGCTTCCTTGTCATGCATTGTTACCCCAGCTCTGGCTGAGTTTTCAAGGCTGACCTTTCTCCTTTACATTTGAAGTCTTCTTCTTTTTAAGCTTCTATGTCAACACATTCTTCTGGATTTTCTCCTCCCTTTCCATCCATCCCTTCTCAGTTTCCATTGAAGGAGCCTCTTCCCCTGTCAGTTCATTATATGTTGTGTTTCTTCAGTGCTGACCTGGGTCCTCTTCTCTTTACACACCCTCCCAGGGCAATCTCAGGGACACCCATGCCTCAATTACTATGTAAATGATGAAGGCTCCCAAAAGCATAACTACAGTTCAGATCTGTCTTTTAAGCCTCATACTTATCTATCCTACTGTCTTCCAGTCACCAACTACTCAAACGCAACATGTCCAGAATGAACTCATTTTCCTGCTCATGCTAATTCTGTTCTGTTTAGTCTTTTTCCTTTCTTCGAACACTTTAGCCCCATGTTAGTCAAGCAAGAGCATCACTTTCCCTTCTTCATCCGCATGTCATCCATTCTCATGGACTCTGCCTCCTAGAGATCTCTCAGATCTTCCTGTCTCTCCATGTACAATGCCATTAACCCTAGATCAGACTCTCTCCATCTCTTGTCTGAATTGTTGCAATGGTCATATGGTGATGGCGCCCCCATGGACGTTCTTTTTTTTTTTTTTTAAGATTTTATTTATTTATTTGACGGAGGGAGAGAGACAGCGAGAGAGGGAACACAAACAGGGGGAGTGGTAGAGGGAGAAGCATGCTCTCTGCCGAGCAGGGAGCCTGATGCGGGGCTCGATCCCAGGATCCTGGGATCATGACCTGAGCCGAAGGCAGATGCTTAACAACTGAGCCACCCAGGCGCCCCCCCTATGGACACTCTTACCTCCCTCTAGTCCCTTCTCCACTCCATTACAAGGGGAGCTTCAAAAACAATTTTCATCATGTCACCCTCCTGCTTCTGATGGCACCCTACTCTTCTTGAAGTAAAAATCTAAGTCCTTCAATATGTCTTATCACACCCCCGCACAGTCTGCCCCTTCTTCCTCCAGCCTGGTCATTCACCACTTCCTCCCCTTCAGCCTCTGCTTGCCAAAATTGAACTTCTTGGATATTATTTGCTCTTTCCCGGTGCCCGTGTTTGTGGATATTATTTCCTCCATCTGGGATATGTCTCTTCTAACCCTTTTTCCTAAAAACCCATGGCCAACTCCAGCTTCTACATCATTTCCTCTTGGAAGCTTTCTTGATATCACTGAATCTGGGGTAGGTCCCCTAAATATTGGCTCTGCCACTTATTAGTTGTTGCACTTTAGACAAATTACCTAATCTTCCTATGCCTCAGTTTCTTCATCTATAAAAGGAGATGATCGTAAGTACCATCATAGAGCCGTTGAAAGGATTACATGATAACAGTGTCCGGGACATAGTAGTGCTAAATATGAGTTGGTATTTGTCATTGTAATTAGTATTGTTACTAGCTCTTCTAGCAGCCTCTACCACCATATCATAGTAGTTACCACACTGTTATGCACCTGCACACTTACTCATCTGTATCTTCCTCTAAACTTGCCATCTGGGAGAAGGATTATATTCACCTTCTTCATTGTTATATCTCCAATACCTAACATAGTGCCTAGCACGTGCTAAGTAATCACTAGATGTCTTTCGGATACATAAGTAAAGCTTAGCACCTAAGAAAATATAAGTTTTGGGGCGCCTGGGTGGCTCAGTCATTAAGCCTCTGCCTTCGGCTCAGGTCATGATCCAGGGTCCTGCTCAGCAGGAAGCCTGCTTCTCCCTCTCCCATTACCCCTGCTCGTGTTCTTGCTCTCACTATCTCTCTCTCTCTCTGTCAAATAAATAAAATAAATAAATAAATAAATAAATAAATAATAAATAAATAAATAAATAAATAAATAAATAAATAAAATCTTTAAAAAAAGAAATATAAATTTTTACATGTAGAAATGTATGGAAATGCAGAATCTCTGTATTGGGCCCCTAATTATTTGACAGTAAGTAGATATAAAGTCTTATCGAAAAAATTTAAAAAGGCTTTCATTATATGGTTGGCCATTTCTGCAAACTTTTTAAGAG